AAATCTGGGTCCCAGGTAGATTACGGTGACTCCATAATCATCATGGTTGCAGTCTCCTCTGTATTCTTGCTGTGTTATCTCATCCAGTGGCTTCCTCCTCATGCTCCAGGTCCAGCTATCACATCTGCATTTCCACCAGCAAGAAGGGGAAATGGGAAGTGGAGATCCCACCTCTTCCTTTTAAGTACACAACCTAGAAGCTGTGCACTGTTATTGTTGGTAACATCCCATTTGTCTAAATGAAATCACATGACCATCCCCGGGAGGCCTGGGAAGTGCAGCCTTTACTATGGGTAGCCACACACCCAGCTGAAAGTCAGGGGTTCTATGACTATGAAAGAAATGGGAGACTGGACGCCATAGAATTCCTTCTTTTAATGATAATAATAATATCTTCCTCCATCAAGACAGCGCTGTATCTTACATTCTAACCATGGAACCCTGCAAGAGGGCACTGGCTTGGGCCAAATTGCCAGTTGCAGTAGAGCAGACTTACTTTCTTTCTTAAGGCACATCCCAGAGCCAGCTACTTCTGCACAGAGGGAATTTTCAACTGAAAGCAATTTCAGTAAAAAGGCAGAGTCCTGGCAGTATCAACAGTTGCCGTGGTACTTCCTCCAGACTTTTCCCCATAAAGGTCACGAAGAGAATCAAGAAAGGCCATCCCATTGCACGATCAGAGTTGTAAGATGGTGATGTGTGTCACAGACCCTCTCTGGCAAGTTTCGGCCCCTCTGCTGGTCATTCTTAAAATGTTACCGTTAGGCTGCACACGTGTGAATCACCTCCTGCCTACAAAAGCACTCATTTCTTGTCCCTTCTTTTCACTTCCAGAGGAGGAGTTTGAGTGTGTGCGTGTGTGTGTGTGCGTGCGTATGTACATGTTGAGAACATTTAAGTTCTACTGTCTCAGCAACTTTCAAGTATACAATACAGTACTGTTAACTGTAGTCATCCCGCTGCGCTGCATCCCCAGAATGCACTCATTTATAACCGTAAGTTTATATCCTTTGGCCAACATCTCTTTGTTCCTCCCTGCCCCCACCAGCCCCCAGCAACCACCAATCTACTGTTTCTGTGAGGTCAGTTCTTTTAGATTCCTCATGTTAGACTGTGCAGTAGTTGTCTTTCTCTATCTGACTTATTTCACTTAGTGTAATGCCCTCCAGGTCCATCCATGTTGCCACAAATGGCCAGATTTCCTTTTTTTTAAAAGGCTGAATAATAGTCCATTGTGGATGCATAATACATTTTCTTTACCCGTTCATCTGTGGTTGGACACTGGGATCATTTCCATGTCTTGGCTACTGTGAATAATGCTGCGATGAATGTGGGAGGGCAGATGGCTCTTTGATATAGTTATGTTATTTCCTTAAGATGTATACTGAAAAGTGGGATAGCTGGATCCTATTGTATTTCTATTTTTTAACTTTCTGGGGCACCTCCGTACTGTTCCACAGGGACTGCACCGGTTTGCATTTCCACCAACGGTGCACGAGGGCTCCTCCTTCACATCCTCACCAAAACTTGTCATCTCTTGTCTTTTTGATATTAGCTATTCCAACAGGTGTCAGGTGATATCTCATTGTGGTTTTGTTTTTTATTTTTTTAAGATTTTCATTTATTTATTCATTCGAGATAGAGAGAGAGAGAGAGAGAGAGAGAGAGAGAGAGAGAGAGGCAGAGACACAGGCAGAGGGAGAAGCAGGCTCCATGCAGGGAGCCCGATGTGGGACTCGATCCCGGGTCTCTAGGATCACGCTCTGGGCCAAAGGCAGGCGCTAAACCACTGAGCCACCCGGGCTGCCCCTCATTGTGGTTTTGATTTGCATTTCCCTGATGATGAGTGATGTTGAACTTTTTTTCATGAACCTGTTGGCCATAAGTGTGTCTTCTTTGGAAAAATGTCTGTTCAGGTCTTTTGCCCATTTTTTTAAAAAATTTTTATTTATTTATGATAGTCACAGAGAGAGAGAGAGAGGCAGAGACACAGGCAGAGGGAGAAGCAGGCTCCATGCACCGGGAGCCCGACGTGGGATTCGATCCCGGGTCTCCAGGATCGCGCCCTGGGCCAAAGGCAGGCGCCAAACCGCTACGCCACCCAGGGATCCCCTTTTGCCCATTTTTAACTGGATTTTCTTTCTTTCTTTCTTTCTTTCTTTCTTTCTTTCTTTCTTTCTTTCTTTCTTTCTTTCTTTCTTTCTCTTTCTTTCTTTTTTTTTTTATTGAGTTGTATGATGCTGCCTCTTTCTTCCTACCTTTTTGCTGAATCTCTTCTAATTCTTAGCTTTTAAGGTCTCATCTCATGTCATTAGATTGGGCCCACTCAGGTAATCTAAAATAATCTGTTTTAAGGCCTGTAACCTTAACTCCATCACCAAGGTCCCTTTTGCTATGCAGTGTAGCATATTTGTAGGTTTCAGGAATTGGGGTGTGTGCATCTTGGGAGGTGCCACTCCGCTCACCCCTAACTAATATTTGCTGAACCCTTCTCAGGGAGAGGCACTCACTGTGCTGAGGTCTGGGAGGTCAGAGGTAAATGTCTCTCTGAGTACATTGCTCCAGAAAAAGGGTGGGAGGGAATGTCTTCCAGGGACCATCCCCCTTTTGGGAGTTTGGGTAGCCAGCTTCAGACTAGAGCAGCTCCTCTTGCTCTGTTTCTCTGGGTGGAGACTAGGACCCCACCCCTTCCCATATTCATATCCCTTCAGCTCCCATCCACTGCCCTGGGGTGGAAGGAAGGTCATTCTGTCCGTTTTCTTTTTTTTTTCATTCTGTCCATTTTCTACACAGACCTTATGCTCAGTCATTCATCCATCTCCAGAAAATTCTAAGGAGACCAACAGGAAGGACAAATTGTGTATTTCAGTCTTCATGTTATCTTGGCTTTTTTTGCCCAGGGTGGCTGCAGAGCTCCTGATATTGTTCACACCTGCTGTGGTCCTTGCAATGTCATCACCCCCCCCCCCGCCCGTCCCCAAACCTCACATAGGCCAACACAACCCTCTACCCCTTCATAACTTTGGCCTCTAAGGTCATTCCCTCGGCAGGCTGCCCCCCACCCCCCAGCGGCTCTCCAGGCTGGCCTCCACTCGGGCTGGATTGATGCAGACTGCTGCCCCCCCAGCCCCCGCATTTGCAAGTGCAGTTTCCTCTGCCTGGAATGCACCCTCCTCTGCTTCTGGCTTTGCCCTCTTCCCTCCAACTGCCTGGAGATACCAGCTCGGGGTCGTCTTAGCGGAAGCCCATCTGCTGCCACCCCAAGCTGAATTCGGAATTCTGAGCTCATTCTTCAGGGAACTTATTTTGTTGGACCGCAGAGATGGCAGGTGACTCAGTCGCCTCCAAAGCAACCAGATTTAAGCTCAGGGAGGGCAGGGGGAAGGGAGTGGAAGGGCCCTCCAGGGTCCTTAGTAGATGTTCCCAGAAAGTGAAAGCTTCTAATGACATTTATCGAGCACTTGCTGTTTGCAGGTGTGGTACCAAGCTCATTGCATCTGTTAGGTCAATGAACCCTCACAGCAATTCTGGGTGGGAGAGGCTCTTTTTTTTTTTTTTTTTTTTTTTAATTTATTTGAGAGAGAGATCACAAGCAGGGGGGAGTGGCAGGCAGAGGGAGAGGGAGAAGGAGGCTCTCCAAGGAGCAGATAGCACCATGTGTGGCTTGAACCTGGGACGCTTAACTGACTGGGCCACTCAGTCGCCCTGGGAGATGCTCTCATTGTCCCCATTGTATGGCGGAGGTTGTAGAGAGTGGACTCATGCACTTTCACTTGAAGGCTGTCAATGTCACGAAGACTTCCAAGGACGGTGGGTGAAAGCAAAACCAGAGAAGCCCAAACACAAGTAAAAATGGGCAAAAGACCCGAATGGACACTTTTCCAAAGAAAACATACTTATGGCTGACAGGTTCTTGAAAAGAAGTACAACATCACTCCTGGAGGTGCCTTTTCCAAATACCAGGTCACTCGCCCTGTCACCTAGTCCTTGACAGAACACACTTGCATGGCTACATCCATACTCAGCACGCTCTCCTGCATCTCCTTTCTCTCTTTCTCTCTGTGTAATTAATCTTGGAACATCTTCTCACATCAGTACAGAGAGATCATCTCCTTGCTCATTATCTACTCCAACATCCTTTCTGGGAGGGGACGATTGAAAACAATCCAAATGCCCTTGTTAGGGCAAATGCAAATAAAAATTCTCCCTGATGCCAGAAAGGGAGCCATCCCCTCTTCCTTTCCCTAGAGCATTTAGTTTAGAAAACTTATAAATTCTTTCCCTGCTCCTTTCAGGTGTATTCACTTCTTAAAAAAAAAAAAAAAAGCTGAATAAGCCTCTCATCAGTTTTACCACCCAGGATCACTTTTCTCAAGGACACAAGAGCCATTTCTCTATAACATAAATTTGAAGAAAGTCAGTGCCCCCATCACCTGGTCTCCGGGGGACGGTAGGAACCTAACATTAGTGTTCAGCTTCAAGTTGCAAGCAACTTCCTCATAAAGACATGAATTTCTTTTTCCTGCAGATAAAGATAGCTAACCCAGGCAGCCATCCCGTTACCGGGTGAATTTTTCAGGATGAACCATGTGACCCTTATTTGAGAACTAGCTATCGTTTGAGAATACAAATATAGTCGGCTGTACCCGCTGGAGGATGTGGAGGAGTCAGGTTTCTTTCTGCCCATTCACCGGATCGTCTGTGATGTGCACCACAATCTGGTTTAATGTGTATTCAGTAATAAAAGTTTTCTTTTTCTTCTACTTTTGTGGAGAGGTTTTCTGTTTTTTTTTTTGTTGTTGTTGTTGTTGTTTTTTGTTTTAAATTTTGTCTCCAGTACCTTCAAATGTCTTTCTACGGGGGGCTGGTTGCATAAATGTGGTACCTCCAAGCAATGAAATACTGTGTGGTCATGATCAAGAACCAGAGCCCTCTCTCCATTTTCAGTGTTGAGCGAAAATAAAGGTACAAAGTAGTCTGAAACTTTTTCTGGAAAAAGACTCTATATTTGTATTTGCATAATCTCTGCAAGTGTGAACAAGAAACTAATAAAAGTACTGTGTGTGTGCACGTGGGTGTGTTTGTTGCGAGGAACTGAGCAGGTGGGGGGCAGGAGGAAAGGAATTTTTTTTTGCTGAACATCATTTTATATTTTCTGATTTTGGAACATGTGACTACATTATCTATTCAAAATAAATGAAAAGAAAAGAAAAGAAAAGAAGTCCCAGAACCAGACATTCTCTAAGCACTTGATTCTGTTCATTTCTGAGCTTAGCCTTGACCTTAGAACTGAAAATTGATTATATTGATCTTAGGGTTCATGTTAGACATTTTTATGGGATGGCTGATATTAATGTAAGAGCAGGGGATGTCCATCTAAAAAAAAAAAGTAAAAAAGAGAACAAAATAATAGGTAGCAGATGCACTTCTCCCCAGACTTCCCAGGGTCTGGTTCCCCTGCTTGGTGAGTGGGGGAGGAACTGGACTCACTTCTAGAGGTTTGGTGTTGTTCCTCCCCCTATCATCTCTCTGCTAGGAGGTCACTCACTTTCCAAGGAGCAGAACCTCATGGGTCAGGAGGGGTGACAGGAAAGGGTGTGTGGGGTCCAGGGTCCATCTATCTTGGGAACTGAGGGGTCAAGACGCCCATGATTCCACCCTTCGCCATCTCTATTGTAGAAGCTCCTCTGCGAGGAGAGTGAGAAAAAGGTTACAGGGCAGGGGTCGTCTCTGAACCACCCTGGCCACTTCTAGGTTGTGTAGACTGTCCCTTTTGTTATTTCTGTTGGGCATCAGATTGGAAATGGCCCAAGAGGGCTTGCTACATGCTGGGCGCTTCTCACCTTTATCCCTGTGCTAAACCTATGAGGTAGGTGCTATTTATCACAATCCCCATTTTAGGAAACCGAGGTACAGAGAAATAAGTGACTTCCCCGAGGTCACACACCTGTGAGGGCTAGCTCACGCTCTCGGCAGTTTCCTTTCTGACGCTCCTGCGCCTGCCTCCAGCTGGGTGCTGCAAACCTGCTCTCTCTAAAGAGCCCATAGAAGTTCTGAAATGGAATTGCGGGCACTGTGACGCGGCTTGGGGTGGGGCTGTGCTTTGCGGGCCCCAGGTCCCACGGGAGGCCTTGCGGCGCTCTCGGCCGTCCTAGAGGCGCGGTGACGGGATGCCCAGGTCCTCAGCCTCTGCCTCCCACCTCTCCGCCGCCTGCCCTGTGACCTCGGGCACGTGCCCTGCCCGCGTTTCCAGGAGTCAGTCAGGGAGCGGGTCGGGCCTGGTGCTAGGCCGCGGGCGTCCTAGGCGGAGCACTGCAGGCTGCAGAAGTCGGCGGACGAGAAGAGCCGCAGCACGTTGACCAGCGGGAACATGAGCAGAGCTCCGAGCAGGGAGCCCAGCTGCACCGCCGCCCCGCACCACAAGAGGGCGCTGCGGCTGCGGTCGCGCAGGATCACGCCCAGCATCACCTTGACGTAGCTCAGACAGCCGATGAACAGCACCCACGAAGCCACCTGCGGGTGCGGGGCGGCAGAGATGCGGCGTGAAGGGGCCTTTGGGGCTAGCCCCGGGGGGAAGGGTGCTTGTAGGGTGACCTAACTGGGCTAAGAGAACCCCATGGAATAACCTTTGAGTTCAATAGAGCCTTTGGGGGTGACACCCTAGGGCTACGGGGGCCCTGGTGAGTTGACACACACCTCTGGGGCAAAGGAGAGCCCAATAGCCTTGTGTCTCCCATGAGCGAGTCAAGGGCATCTGGGAGGTCAGGGCTGAGGTACACATGGCAAGAAGAATGTGGCATTCAGGGGAGAGGCTGGACTGTCACCTTGGACCAGCCACCTCAACTTCCCAAGCCTCTATTCCCAAATGAGAAGCAGTCCTCCCCCTGCCCAACCCTATCTGGGACTTCCTTCTGGAGCAAACACAAAGACTTTGGTGGGTAGAAAGGGCCTTGGCTAGCTGAGGGGTAAGGAGGGAGGCGGCTTCCCAGGCCAGATACTTACAATGAGGACCTCTCCACCCCAGTGGCCCTGCATGAGGGGGCAGGGGCTCATCACAGCCATGGCCATGTTGTAGGCGCCAAAGCCAGTCCCGAGCACTGTGAGGACCCCCAGGAATGGCAGAGACCTAGGACAGAGTAGAGGAGTGAATGGAGGAGTTGAGAAACCTGACCTCTGCCTCCCCCACCCTGGATGCTGTGTAGAATGGTCAGCATCTCTAGGGCTAGGGGTTAGATCCATGTGGAAACTTCTAGGCCACCTGGCTCAAGTGGGTCAGCGAGGTTCCTAAGACTAGTCTAGGTCACCCTGAGCATTTGTGGCAGGAGAAACGGAATGGACTCCTAGTGCTACTGGCACCTGGTTCAGATCCCATTTCCTATTTAAGCTGCAGCTGCTCCCCAAGCCTGCTTCCTCACCTGTGCAATGAGCCTTGCCGGGATGCCAGAACCTGTAGGGCCTGCTCCTGGGCCCCACCCAGTGTTTCATCTGCTGCCATTTCCTCCTGCAAACTTCCCAACCTCAGCCAGGAAGCTGAGCTGACTAGGAGGTGGCTTTGAGGCTGGCATTGCCACTGCAGGATGTGCTGTGCAACCTCAGTTGACCCCTTCCCTTCTGGTGTCATCTGTAGCGTGGGGTCTACAGGATCTAGGGGCCCTGATGGCTGGCCTGGACACATTCCATGGGTGGCCTTCCACGTAGGCTCTATGTGACAACTGAGGATACTGTCCTTCATTTGGGGTTGTCACCCTGTGGCCTCCCTGTGCACGCTCTTCGGAAGACCATGACTGGTCTGTGGTCTTGGGTGGGAGAGGAGGGCCTGCCCCTGCCTCTAAGGACTCTTTGTGCTCCAGGATTCTTGGAGTCCCTGGCTTCTAGACTGGATGTTTCTAACAGTCTGGGTGCCTCATATCCCACAGATCTCTGGCCTCTGTTTCTGCTTCCCCAGAAACGTCCAGCCTCCTTCCCCAGTTTCAAGCCCTAACGGAGAAAACTCAACTTTCTGGCAATGCTACATTTTCTGTCTAACTCTCCTAGTCTCATTCTTCCTCTTTCCTGGGCTGGGGGAGGGGATATGAGCATGTCAGAGGGGACCATGAGGGCAGGTGGGGGCAGAGTCGTGGCTGGGACATTGTAGGCTCTAAGGTCTCATGACTCCAAAGTGTGTGTTTCTCCTCCCAGGGTCTGAGCCCCTGCAGCAGAGCCACTTAGGTTGTGTACTAAAATTTGAAATCTCAGGTCTCAATCTAGGCTGGCTCAATCTGCATCTTATCAATTTGCCTAGCCACTCTTCCAGAACTGCAGCTGTAAAGGAGCCGGCATGAGCTGGAGACAGGAGCACAGGGCTGAAATCCTGGGAAAGAGACTAGGGCTTTCAGCTCCTGCTTGCTCATTCCTCCTCAAGGGCCAGTGGCTGGTCAACACTTACACTGGACCTGCCTTGCACAGGTACTGCTCTAAAGTCTTTACAGAATTAGCTCAGTTGATGCTCCCAGCAACCCCAAGAGGTAGAACTATTATTATCATCCCCATTTTCCAGATGAGCATCCCCAAGGCACAAAGAGGTGAAGTGATTTGTTCAGTACCACCTCGCTAGGAAGTGGCCAAGTTGGGCTTTGAATCCCGGGGCCCTAGAATCCACTTTCTATAAGTGCAACCTGAGAGTTGGGGTTTGGAATTCTGACTTCTAGAATGAAGTGGATCCCAACAAGAGTTCCCGAGGCCCAGCTGGGGCAGACCTGTGAGGCAGAAACATGGAGAGGAAGCAGGCAAGAGGGTTGGCCATGGAGCTGAGGGTGGCCGATAGGTGGTAGGCAACAGGCCCGTAGGACAGGCAGGAGTAGGTCTGCACGGAGGGCAGCACGCCGTTGGTGAGCCCGTTCACAAAGGCCACCAGGATGTAGATGAAGGCCAGGTATGCTGGGTGGTCGGAGGCTGTTTTCTCCTCTGGATGCCCCTGGGTCTTGCTGCTAAGCCTTGGACCTGGGGGGCCCAGGTCTTCCCCTTCCCGTGGCCGGATGGAGTGGAGTGTGACCTGGGAGGTGAGGAGGTCTTCTATGGAAGATTCCCTGGGCCTGGGCTGACGCTGGAGGAGAAAGAAAGCAGTGAGGCAGCAGGCCATCATGAAGGAGAGCAGGAGGAAGAAGACCAGGGGCGAGAAGTTGGCCGGGAGGTAGCGGCTTTCCAGATGGACCGCGGAACGCGTCGTCTCCATAAGGTCAGACACGAAGGTACTGCTGGCTCCCTGGGAAAGAACAAAGCAAGGCTCGGTCAGATCCTCTGGGGATGTCGGGACACAGGTAACAACAATATTAATGATCATATACAATAAATAGCATGCATTGTTATAAGTGAGGGATGAGCAGCAGACACAGGACATTACTCAGGTGATAATAAATGCTCATGTGGGCTGATGGCTCACTGGGCACCAGCACTTTGTGTGTGTTAGCTCGTGCATGCCTCCTCGCAGCCCTGTGCACTGGGCACCACTACCCCCAGTTTTGGAGGGTTTCGAGGTGTCAGGATGGTTCTGAACCTGAAGGTCCTGGGGAGTATGTGGCAAGGCCAGTCCACTTCCTTCTTTCAGGCTTAGAAGTTCTACCTTTTCCCACGCTACTGCCCTCCAGGGCTGGCAGCCACAGATACAGTCAGAGGAGGGGCAGCCCCACCCAAAGCTGCCTGTGTGGACATGGCCTGGTGTGCCAAATCTCTTCCCAGGAGATCCCATACACGTGAAATTTCAGAACACTTAAATGTCTTCAACTAATTCAAACACTGAAAGTGGTGTGCGGGCAGGATATGGTAGCCCAGGGCCCCTGGTTCACACCTGCTGTTGGACTACTGTAGTTTGGACAATGCCAGGTGTTACGTGAAGGGTCTGCCAATACCCACTGGAAATGAGTTGGACATTTTAACAGCACTAGCCATTGAAACAATGTCTAAAGTCTAAAGTTCTGGGGATCCCTGGGTAGCTCAGTGGTTTGGCGCCTGCCTTTGGCCCAGGGCACGATCCTGGATCGAGTCCCACATCGAGCTCCCGGCATGGAGCTTGTTTCTCCCTCCTCCTGTGTCTCTGGCTCTCTCTCTCTCTGTCTATCATAAATAAATAAATAAATAAATAAATAAATAAATAAATAAATCTTAAAAAAAAAAAAGTCTACAGTTCTTAGCCCTGGCAGTATATTAGCATCACCTGAGGATTTTTGAATAAATACAAGCTCACCATCCCTATTTTGCAACTTGGAGATGCAAAAAGCTCTGAAAGTTAGGATTTTTTTCATGCCTCAGTTGGTGGCAATACTTGAATGCAGGTAGTTTATTTATAGTCTTCATCAGCCCACTGGGCACGAATGCCCCCCGGGCTGTAGGTGGTGGTGTTACTGTGTGAGACTGCTATGTCTCAGGTGTTATTACAGACCGAGACAGGTGTTTCTAAAATCTGAAACTCCAGATTCCAACACACTTCTGACCTCAAGGATCTCAGAGAAGCCTCCCCCACACCCCCTACCGAGAGTCTTATTTCATTGTTTTGGATGGGGTGGGCCTCCCCTCCCCGACTGTGTTTCAGTAGCTCCCCCAGGTAGGTGATCTGAAGTGAGGCTAGGCCAAGAACACCCGTCTACCCAACAGCTGGGAAACACAAGCCCTCTGTGTGGTCTTCCTTGTGACCAAGCACGAAGCTCTGTAGTGGGTCATGCTCCAGGTACCTGTGGGAAGACCGTCTTCCCGGTGGTCTCAGGGCTTGGGGTGGTGTCTGATGGCTGAGTGACATTGACACAGGTGGTGAGACCCGAGCCTTGGGCAAGAGCCACCAGGGCAGGCAGGAGGCCGCTGAGTCCTTCGCCCACAAAGAAGGTGGTGAGGTAGTGGGCGGGCAGACGGCTCATGAAAGGCAGGAAGGTGACAGATGAGGTACAGTCCACCAGGGCCAGGAAGAAGGTGAGGACCATGAAGGCAATGCTGTGGTGGCCGTCCAGCACCCAGGAGGTGACATTCCAGAGGAAGGCGAAGAGGGTACAGGCGAGGGTGCCCACACCCAGCACAATAAAGATGATGGGCACCTCCGAAAGGCAGCTGGGCTGGAAGTGATGGAGCAGGGTGACCAGGAGGGGGCCGATGTTGGCCAGCTGGATGACCACGGTGAGGTAGGAGGGAAGATACCACCCCTCGGGCAGCTCCGTCACCAGCAGGGGCAGCTCTACCCAGATCCCATTGATGGCAACCCAGGAGCCCATCCCGAAGGTGCAGACCAGCAGGTGTATCAGGAAGGCCATGGTGACGTCTGCCCTGCGCCGAAGGCCTCTACCTCTCAGATCAACCTGCAGTGGGGCCGATGGAGAAAAATACCAGGTGAGCAATGTCACGGTCACCATCTGTCAAAAGACTATGCTGTGGTGCCCAGGTTTTCCCTGATCTTTCCCCTTCTCATGAACAAACTGGCTTTTTATTATAGGAAAACACAAACTCTTTTATGACTAACTCTTCCAGAGGGGAAAGTTTTCCTAACCATGGCTTGTAATTCCAGAGACCACCAAAGAAAAGTTTGACACATTTAACCGCATAAATATGAAAACACACAAAAGTAATCAAACAACAAAGCACCTTCTTCCAAAAAAAAAAAAAAAAAAAAAGGAGAAATACCAACAGTTGAGATCAAAAGATGACAACCTGGGGGAAAATATTTGCAATGTAAATCAGAGACAAAGGGGTCATTTTCTTCTTATGTAAAGGATTTGTAGAAATTCAGGGCAGCCCCAGTGGTGCAGCGCTTTAGCGCTGCCTGCAACCCAGGGCGTGATCCTGGAGACCCTGGGTCGAGTCCCACATCAGGCTCTCTGTATGATGCCTGCTTCTCCCTCTGCCTGTGTCTCTGTCTCTCTCTCTTTGTCTCTATGAATAAATAAATAAAATATTAAAAAAAAAAGAAATTCAGAACAAGAAGACCAATAGAAGAAGAGTGGGCAAAGGATGTGCACAGTTCAGATTCAAAGGTACAAATAAGCCTTTTATTTTTTTAAGATTTTAATTATTTATTCATGAGAGACAGAGAGAGAGAGAGAGAGAGGCAGAGACACAGGCAGAGGGAGAAGCAGGCTCCATGCAGGGAGCCCGATGTGGGACTCGATCCCGGGACTCCGGGACCATGCCCTGGGCGGAAGGCAGCCACTCAACCGCAGAGCCACCCAGGCGTCCCTGATTCTATTTTCTTTTCTTTCTTTTCTTTTTTTTTAAGATTTTATTTATTTATTCATAGAGACACAGCTAGAGAGAGAGAGGCAGAGACACAGGCAGAGGGAGGAGCAGGCTCCATGCTGGGAGCCCCATGTGGGACTCAATCCCCAGACCCTGGGATAATGCCGGAGCCAAAGGCAGACACTCAACCACTGAGCCACTCGGGCCTCCCAACACATAAGCTTTAAACATACAAAAAGGTCTGGGTTTGGGGATCCCTGGGTGGCTCAGTGGTTTAGCGCCTGCCTTTGGCCCAGGGCGCGATCCTGGAGTCCTGGGATCGAATCCCACGTCGGGCTCCTGGTGTGGACCTGCTTCTCCTTCCTCCTGTGTGTCTGCCTCTCTCTCTCTCTCTCTCTCTCTCTCTCTCTCTCTGTCTATCATGAATAAATTAAAAAAAAAGATCTGGGTTTGTACTCAGCTCTGCCACTTGCTAAGCAGAGTGACCTTGGGCAAGTGACTTTGCCTCTCTGTGCCTCATTTTCCTCATCTGCAAATAGAGGATGAAATGAGTCTTGACTTTATGGTTTGTAGTGAGATGCAAATATGTTAAAGAGTTAATGTTTTGGGGGGGGCACCTGGGTGGCCCAGTGGTGGTATAAGCACCATTTTGGACTCACTGTGATATAAGAACCATTTTGGAGAGAAATGTTGATGAGGCCAATTACCTCATTTTTACAGATGGGAAATAGGGCGAGCCTGGGGAGGCGGGATTTGGAGCAGGTCCTCTTGTGGCAGGTGGCCTCCTGAGCCCCCACCTCCACCCCACGGCCTGATCTCTCAGTCTTGCCCAGTTCACATGGCCGTCTAACTTCTTTCTCTTTTAGAAGCTGCAGCAGAGTCCCTGTTGCTACGCCTCACCTGGGAAAGTCCCCACACCTCAGAGGCTCCTTTCCTGGTTCCCACACACAGAACTGACTCTCAGCCCCAGAAGAACTCCCTTCTTCCTCCCTCCACTGAGCAGAGTGAGGTCTGACCTGCTTTCTGCCCTGCTGTACCACCTTCTGTCTAGAGACCTTAGGCAGGTGGCTTAAGCTCTGGTCTCTCAGCTGTGAGGACTGCCTGCCTAATGGCCGGGGACAGGTGTGGCTCTGGGCAAGCCGAGAGAACCCACGGAGGGAAGCTCCAGGCAGTTGGCATGTGGAGAGGACCTTTAGCTCAGGCCAGTTGTGCGCCGTGCGCAGCTCCTCGGCTGCTCACTCCCACCTGAGACCAGGATGTGGTACAGAACAGATAAAATCCCACTAAAAAAAGAGCTGCCCTGAATCTGCTCAGGCAGCATTCTGCCTATAATGGGTGACATGATAAGGAAGGACGAGAAGGTAGAGGTTGAATGATATTCCAAGGCAGAGGCTGCTAGGTGCTTCCCATTACTCACTCTTCCCTTCTTCCTTAGTTGTCACAGAGACCAGATTTTGGGCTGGGCAAATGGCCACCAAGCTTTACGAGTCCATTTCCTGGCCTCCCTTGCAGTGGGGCATGGCCATCCGATCAAGGCAGGCCAAGGAGGTTGTGAAGTCTTAAAGATGAGGGAGTGGACCTTACTGCCCTTCCTCCACCCTGCTGTCTGGAACTCAGGTGTGATGGCCGGAACTCTGGTGGTTGTTTTGTGCTAAGAGGGATGGTGTGGGGGCTAGAGGGAGATTAGGGAGATTGGCTTTGTGGCACAGAGCTGCTGTACTGGTCCAGTTCTGCCTGCCACTGAACTTTTTTGTTTGTACGGTGTTGTTGACATAGTAAATGAGCTTCTCTCTTGTTTAAACTACTCATTTTATATACAGCAAAACAGTGGCCAAGTGTAGAGGTAGACATCCAAGGATATAGAGGGACTGGTTATAGTAGCGAAAAGCTAATGAGTACATTTATCTCCTTTACTCTTAATGTCCCAATTCAGAAATCCAGGTCCTACCCCAAATGGGATTTGATCTAAAACCAAAATCAGTTAGGATTAGTTATTGAAATACACCGTAAAGAGGCATTGAAAGGTTAAGAGTGGGATCCCTGGGTGGCGCAGCCGTTTAGCGCCTGCCTTTGGCCCAGGGCACGATCCTGGAGACCCGGGATCGAATCCCTCGTCGGGGTCCCGGTACATGGAGCCTGCTTCTCCCTCTGCCTGTGTCTCTGCCTCTCTCTCTCTCTTTCTCTGTGACTATCATAAATAAATAAAAATTAAAAAAAGAAAAGAAAGGTTAAGAGTAAACTTGTCTTCCAGAGAAATGCAAAGAGATGGAGGGAGGGACAGATGGAGAGAGAAAATGAGAGGGGGAAGAAGAGAGGGGAGGGGTAGAAGGAAGGGGAGGGAGGGGAGGGAGGGGAGAGAGGGGAGAGAGAACAAAGAGCTCTCAATATGGGATTTGATGCTCAAAATATAAATTAAGTCATTTCATATCGTCATTGATAGACATCGATACACTGATAGTCATGCTGATAGATACTGCAGTCCTCAGTGGAGTTGAATGGATGTCTGTATTCTGAATAACATTCCCCCACAGCCCCAGATGTATGGGAAGGAAGGGACAACAGCACGGTCCATGGTAGGGCAGTGACTCACTGCTCTAGGCCTTGATGACAGGAAGTAAAGTAAAATAAACAAGGATATAGAGGAGGCAATAAATGATATTTCTAATAAGGAGGAATAAGTAAATAATGAAAGGGAGGAGGTGGATTTGCTGAAGATGGTTACTTTTATCATCTGAAAAGCTATTAAAATAATGAGAGTTCAGCCAGGTGTCCAGTTATACATTTACAAATATGTAGTTTTCCTGCATAGAACCAGAAAATAAGACTTACTAGGGTAGTCATTTGGGCAAAAAGCTGGATCTCTGTTTTACTTCTTACCCCCAATCCTTGAAAAAAGAACCCCAGCTGGATCAAATGTTTAGCTATTTTTTTAATTAATTAAGAAAAGAATAGGGGATCCCTGGGTGGCTCAGCAGTTTAGCGCCTGCCTTTGGCCCAGGGCGCGATCCTGGAGTCCCGGGATCAAGTCCCGAGTCGGGCTCCCGGCATGGAGCCTGCTTCTCCCTCCTCCTGTGTCTCTGCCTCTCTCTCTCTCTGTCTCTCTATGTCTATCATAAAATAAATAAATAAATCTTAAAAAAAAAAAGAATAAAAATGCCGCCCCGCCCCCCCAACATATAAGTAGAAGGAATTACTTGTGCAAATGTCCTGGGGCAGGAATGAGCCTAGACCAGTGTGGCTGGAGCAGTGGGCCCGATGGGGAGATAAGGGCAGATGGGCAGGTAGTCTGAGTTTCCTTTGTGTGCAATAGGTTCAATGCACCAAAAGGCTAAATCCCCACACCCCACAGAGCTGAGCTGTCTGGTTCTGATGCAGGCACCACCATGGCTGTGAAATTTGAGGGAAGTGATTGGGCTCTGTGAGTCTCTTCCCTGGGCTGGAAAACAGTCATGATGGTGGGATGGCCCAGCACCACCCATCTTCCCTGTGGCTTCCCTGCCCTGGCCTGCTTCCAGGCAGCCACACCAAATGCCCTACGCTCCTGGACCTTGGAGACACAATGACCCCATTGAGGGGTACGCAGCCATCGATGACAAAGAGGGGAGGTGTCCTAGGCAGAGGGAGCTGCATGTGCAGAGCTTGGTGGCTTCAGAGCACTAAGGAGTAGCTCAGAATGAGTATGGTGGGAATATTTTTAAAAAATATGTATCTCTTTTCTCTTTTCCCTATAGTGACTTTGCAATTTTTGTCCATTCATTCGACTAGTGTTTATTGGGCACTTGCTGTGTGCTCAACAATAATTTTTGCTCTTGGGAAAGTGTGAGAAGTCATTAAGTGAAATAAAAAACAGAAACCTAGAACAAGTCAGTGGTGATAAGGGCTGCGGGAGGGAAGCAAAGTTGGGAGGAGCAGGTGATCGTAAATGGGGTTGTCAGAGGGAATGTGAAGGAATTATGGGAGTGAGCCAGGCCAGGGGAGAGTAGTGCAGGGGGAGGAAACAGCAAGTGCAAAGGCCTGGGGGTGGCACCTCACCTGCCATGTCCCAGAAAAAGGTCTTGATGTTGGAAGGCCAACCCAGAGGCCAGTGTGGCTGCAGCCCTGCAAGCAGAGGGGGTGGGGGGTTGGG